AACAAAATTAGATGACTTCACTTAGCTGTGTCTACAGATATTATAGAAATATGTCTGTTTATTCTTTGGCGTCATCTGGAACACTATCTACTGCATTGCACACCCACTGACTCCCAAGACCCGCTGCTGTCGTCCAGGATGTCATTTAAGAAAGGAAGGCTCCAAGGTAAAACTTCTAAAAGTGCCTTTGAATAACTGCTTATGGTTAACTTTAAAACTGATTTGCTGCTATTAATATTTTGCCATTTATATTTAATAAAGGAGATTTTGGTTGGATTTGTCACACCTTTGGATTTTTCTGCTGGAGAATTTGCAATACAAATACTGTTAAGTCAGACTTTTGGGTTTTGTCTATTACACCTGACCTCCAAAGGAAAGTAAAATTAAACAATTTTTTTTGTTGTTCAAGTGAAGTTCAAATAATGTCATCAGATCAGTGATTCAAAACAATTTGTAGGAAAACATTTCATATAATAATCTAAGATTAAATTAAGAACTAGAATTAATATTGGTGGTTTTAGAAGTATTTTTAGAATTGTAGGCAGCATTGATTCATCAGAAGCTTTTAAGTTTGTTGGATTTTGGCTTAAAAAAGAATGGAAAAAAATCAGAATTTGTCATCCAGGGAGGACTTTTTGCTTAAAGTGCCCTGTTGTGCGATCAAAATTATTTATGGCTCTTAATGTATTTTCTCTAAATCATTTTAAATAAAAAAAATTAGTGTAATTTCTAATGTGCAAGTTTGGAACACTGCATTTTAAACATGTGGAGAAGACTGTGGAGCAGCCAACCAAATTTTAATGTTTCATTTTCTATCACTAGATTCCTTTGGTTCAGAGCCTAACTTGGATTTCACTAGTAGACTGAATCGAGTTAGCCAGCATGATATAGAACAGGTAAGATGTGACAGTGTCCTGAAAAATACAGAATGTGCTTGATTACCATACAGCTATTGAGAGCAGTCTGATGGTAGTTTTCCCACCTCTAAATAACCTGGGTAACACCAACAGGATATAACTTAATTTAGGATTAATGAAATGCTGCAAAATTTTTTTGGAAGGTGTTATGAAGCAGGTAGCAGTTGTGCTGCTGCACACATGTTTTCAAGTCTTAATATAAAAAGTTAAATGAGCTAGACTTAGAAAAAAATGTGAGGGCAGGATTCCAAATTTTCTGTGATCCTGTAGCTGTTTACTACAGGTCAGCTGCAGCTAGACTGTAGAGAAAGGAGGTTGGAAAGGATAACAGAAACCAAGAAGACTATGAAACGTGAATGCTAGCAAAGTAGTGAGTAATTTACAGTGTGTAAATCTAATGCAGAGTTGGCAGAAGATTGTTTTTATTAATCCCACTGACATTTCTACTGCTGCTTGTGCAGAAAAATCTGCTCAAAAACGTGCACTTTCAAGTATCTTTGTAAAATCTAGAATTATAAGAACAGTTTTATGTGTTTCTTCTGATAAGGCATCCATCTTATTTCATTTGTTCAAAAGTAAAATATACAGTAGCATCTTGCAGAAATACTTGGAATGTAATTATTTTTTTCAGGGATTGTTTACATCTGTATTAATGAAAAAATGTCTATGCATGTGGACTCGTAACTCCTAAAGAGTCCTTAAAGGACTAGGTAAATTTGAATTGCAAGAGGTGTTTGTATTAATTGAAGAATCTGAGTTCCTAAATTGAGGAGTTTAATTTCTAAAATAGGAACTTAATTCCTAAAATCTGGAGAGGCTGTGAGGTGGTAATATTTGGATAATCTGTAAATGCTCTGAGTCACCCAAAAACCTCTGTACAAAGGCTCTATCCATTATATAATTTAGAGAGGAAAACATAAGGGAAGAATGAATGCAAGTAGTACTTATTAGGAGAGTCAGAAAAAACATAGTTTTGAAGTGGTTTAGAGAATAAATCATAGTGAAAGGGTGTTGATGATGGGTAAGCTAACATTCCAGAAAGAGAAGATTATGTATTGATGACTGCAAATCTCTGTTTCTTAGCTTCAGATTGAAGCCACGAACAGCTTTGGTGAATCCCTGCAGAAGAAGCTTCTGGACATTGAAGGATTATATTCTAAAGTTCGGTCACGATACACTTTTATTCAAGCTCTTGTTAGACGTATCCGTGGTCTCCTAAGGATATCAAGGACCTAAACAACTGATACATGTTGCTTGTCCCTTGAAGCAATGTACTAGGGCAGGCCTTCTGGATCATCAGATTTTATAGATCACACATTTTCTAAATAATGTCAAAAATATTTTGTTACTTTTTTTTTTTCCTATCCCTATGGATCAGCTTTGTGTATTTTCCTACTGCTCCAAACTTGGCAGGAAAAATAAAGGATTGTTTTGAACTGAGTTATATGATTAATGTAAAATTTCAAGCAAGAAAGAAATATAACAGATCATAAAGGAAACAAAAGTAGTTCTGCAACTGTGAAGATGTTACATTTATGGATGCTTTCAGAGAAAACATGGGGTTCAAGTTTCAGCACTTGCAGACTGATCACTCTGGTGGGGATTCTGTGAAACGTGATTCTTCTGCACTGTGAACTGCTTGTTTCTGCTTCCTCTTGTCCTGCCTTTTTTCAGCTGACTGAAGTACAAGCTGCTTTTCTTGGTGAGAATGATAAGAAAAAAGAAAAAAATATGGGGAAAATAATGGAAGGGTGACTGCCTGAGGTTTGGTTCCTGTAGCTTGGGGCAATAAAGGTTTCTGTGCTGTTATTGCTGGAACAGTATAAAGACATAATGAAATGCATGAGGAGGAAGCCAATATCCTTAGTTCTGTAGTTACAGATTGTTCTCACAAGAGAGATTAATCTCTTACAGTCTCTTTATGTTAAAAAGAAATGGTGTAACCACTGATTACTGACATGAAATCTGTTGGATTTCTCTCTAGTAAGAGTCTGACCTTAAAGCCTGCTTTTCCATGTGTGCTTTGTAAATTGTCCCCCCTGTTACTATTACTTAGTATTTCACTTTTTTTTTTTCTATTTTATACTTAGTCTGTGCAGATGAATAATTACATGAATTACATAATCTTTTATGCAGGAATGGTGATAGCCCTCCTCTTGGATGACAGTTATTAGCTATGCTCTTCCTTATTAGACATTAATAGGTTACCGAGTCGCACTTTGTTGATTCTCAATGGCGTTCATCTTGTTTCTCCACCATCTCAGTGAAAAGGAGGATATAATGTACGGTTTTTCATTAAATCCAAGAGTGTACCTCTAGCTGCCTCCGAGGACTCCATTTTAGGACACAGCCACCCCTTGGGCGGGACCCGGTGACGGCCTCTACCCTTCAGGTAGCCCAGGCCGGGCAGGAGCCGCCGCCGCGGTGGCCAGCCCCGCCAGCCCGTGGCTACTGACGGCGCGTGTGTAACGCACCGCGGGGCCGCG